ATATCACGTGATATTTAATGACATATATATTTGTCAGACAATATAATATATCTGATAGCAGACGATACTTTGCAGAAGATAGCACACAGCGGAAACAAGAACATACGTAAAAAAAAAAAAAAAGAAAAAGAAAAGAAAAAAGAAAAAAAACAAGGCCAAAGAAGAAAAAAGAAGAAAAAGAAGAATAAGAACGAAGAAAAGAGAGCAGAGGACGATGAAGAAGCGAGAGTGAGACGTGTTCAGCGGTCGAGTTGTGTCGTGTGTCTCTATCGCGTACCGTACAGAGTGTTGGCAAGCTTGCAGCAGATGTCAAAGAACTCTCTCATTGCCTGCAGCTTCTTGATGAAGAAGATGTCCTCTAGCAGACTGAGTATCTCCTCACCAAACACACACATCTGTCACCAAACATAGACACATCTGTCACGAAACACACATCGGTCATCAAACAGGCACAGCTGTCACGAAACACACTGACCTGTACCCAAACACGCACATCTGTCAACAAACGACACATTTGTCATTGAACACAAACAGGTGTCAAGACACAAGAGAGGCCTACACGCATACGTGCAGGCATACATATGTATGCATACAGACATACATGTACACAGGCAGGTAGGCAGCCATGCCTATAGACCCCCTCCCTCTCTCCCGTACATATAGACTCCTTCCCCTGTACCTGTAGGCCCCCTCCCCCTTCCCTGTACCTGTAGGCACCCTCCCCTTCTCCCATACCTGTAGACCCCTATCTCATACCTGCAGGCCCGCTATCTCATACCTGCAGGCCCCCTATCTCATACCTGTAGACCCCTATCTCATACCTGCAGGCCCACTATCTCATACCTGCAGGCACGCTATCTCACACCTGCAGGCCCACCTATCTCATACCTGCAGGCCCACCTATCTCATACCTGCAGGCCCACCTATCTCATACCTGCAGGCCCACCTATCTCATACCTGCAGACCCCCTATCTTATACCTGCAGACCCCCTATCTCATACCTGCAGGCCCGCTATAAGTATCTCATACCTGCAGGCCCGCTATAAGTATCTCATACCTGCAGGCCCGCTATAAGTATCTCATACCTGCAGGCCGCGTGCCTCACGCACGACGTCTATCTTCCTCCACAGCGGCGGCGGCTCGAGCTCGGTGAACGCGGCCGCGACTTCGGCGTGCACGTCCGACAGACGTGTGAACAGCCCGTTGAAGCCCATGAGCAGCATCTGACCGGCGGTCATCTCGGCCGTGACGGTGGCGCCCCCGTCGCCGCGCAGCAGCGCCGCGAAGCCGCGCTTCAGGGCGTCGACGACGGGAGCGGTCTCGCTGTCGACCTGCGACAGCAATGAGCGAGAGACGCGGGGTTACCACGGCAACGATGAGTGAGAGATGCGGGGTTGCCGCGGCAGCGACGAGCGACTGATGCGGGGTCGCCGCAGCAACGACGAGTGAGATGCGGGGTTGCCGCGGCAACCGCGACAGTTAGCGTCGAGGCGTTTTATTTTTCGACTTCATCACGTCGCGTTGAAACACGATGACGTTACAGACAGTAAAACAATTACTGATATGATAAATCAATTTTTTCATGTTGTAACACATTATCAAATCAGTTTGATCAGATTTTTCGATGATATTACGATGACATTGTTGTCATCAATCCCAAACCATTCGTAGATCGTATAATTCTATCGGAAGTTATACAGGTTCATCGCATTATCAGCTCAGTTTGGCAACTTTACCGATACAATTGCAATACTATTGCACTAATGGTCATCTTTATTGATAGAACTTCAATGCAGTAGTCCAGCAGTAGTAAGGTCTTCGTGGTTAGGATATCGACCATGAGTGGCAGAAGTTCTACCCACCACCAGCTGGCGCTACCGATCCACACGCTTACCTGGCCGATACCCATGATGATGTTGCGCATCTTCGTGTCCATGTGACCGAGGAGACTGTCCAATGGCATGCCGGCGTCGTGCACGAGGCGGTTGAGCGTTGCCACGGCAACGGCGACTGACGGCTCCTCTGATTGGATGCGCTTGCAGGCTTCTGGCAGGATGATCTTTCTGAAGTTTGTGTTCAGATCCTACGGCAAGACAACAATCGGTGAATGATGGCGACATCACAGCGCCACCTAGCGACACGTGTGGTAAAAACAATGCAAGATAATGCATTATATTAGCAAACTAAAATATCATACTATTTATTATAAATATTTATTCATACATTTATTTATTGATTGATTAATTTAACTCTTTATATATTACGTAGTAGAGTTAAATATATGTGCATAATCAGAAGTGAATAAAAACAGCACTTGTTTTCATTCACTCCCTATACAACGTGAGTGCGGGTAACGTGGCGCCACCTGCAGGGCGAGGTAGACGTGATGTGTGCCGCGCGTGACCACAGTCGCCCGCTGCGCGAGCTCCTCCAGGGCCCCGCCGGTGGCGGCGAGCGAGTAGTGCTGCTGCAGTAGCGCCACCAGCTGGCAGACGTTGGCACTCATGCTGCACAGCTCGTCGAGGAACCAATCTCCGTCGCGCGACGTCAAGTCCATCAGGCGATCGCCGGCGGCTGCGTGGGAGGATGGAGGGGGTGAGGCGTCAGTGTGACACACGTATAGATGCGCACGCGCACGCGAACGAACTGATTTCATTAGAAAACTATTTCGTTTCATTTCGGTTGCCCCGAATTAAGGAGATCCCGATTAAAAATCCGAACAAAACCCGTCGATCCGTAATCTTGATCGTGATCCAGATGCAAAGCAATGCTAAAATAGCTCAATCAACATTTACTGACAAAAGTCAAGATCTTGATACAAAACACACTAATCGAAAACGTCTCGATTGATAAACCCAAGCGAAAACTCCCAATCAATAAACGTCATCAATAAACCTAATCAATAATCAGCAACCAAACTGCCAAGCAGCATTTACATGCTTTTACATTATCTCAAATTAAACCTCGTCACGCGCACACCGATCACCGGCACGCCGCGATGCGGACGACGAACACCAGGGGGCGGCGGCGTACCTGCGGCGGCGCCCTCCATGACGAGGTAACGTTTGTTGAGAGCGCAGAGCGCGGTGATGATGACACTGGCGAGGCTCACCGATCCACTCGTCCTGTTCTCTGTAACACAGCAGTCGGGGGTTCCCACGATGAGCGACGAAACACACAGACAGAGGGCGCCACCACGAGCGTACCACACGTAAACAATGATGGCGCCACCGCGTGTGACTCGCAATAATATACAGAGGCAGAGGGCGCCACCACGAGCGTACCACACGTAAACAATGATGGCGCCACCGCGTGTGACTCGCAATAATATACAGAGGCAGAGGGCGCCACCATGAGCGTACCACACGGAAACAATGATGGCGCCACCGTAAGTGACTCGCGATAATATACAGAGGCAGAGGGCGCCACCATGAGCGTACCACACGGAAACAATGATGGCGCCACCGTAAGTGACTCGCGATAATATACAGAGGCAGAGGGCGCCACCATGAGCGTACCACACGG